ACGGATAAACATCTGACTGATATCATGATTATTAATTTTTAAATAGAAGATTCAAATTAAGGCCATCAACTGAGACTGTAGATCTAGATTCGACCGAGATTCTAAAACTTTTTAGATCTAATAGATCTAAATTATTAACAAAAGAACATTTAACACAAATGGGCCTAAATATATATTTTCTGGCTAATAACGATGTACAGTTGAAGTACATTGCTGCCGACGGAGTAACAAGTTGAAAACTATAATTCCAAATATGATTGCGTTTCTAGTATATTTTTACGGTGTGCGACTAATTCAACACTTTGTGCATACATCTTTATTGTATTGATTGATTATTATTAAAGACACTCTGGAATACACATAACGAACTAAAGTATACACTGGTGTATACGCAGACAAATACCAAACAAACTCACATGAAGGTACCACACCAACCCTCTGTGGAGCAGACACACACAACAAACTACCATGAAAAAAACACACCCAACTTCTAAGTAGAACCACGACAGATATAAAATCACTTGAATTACACCACGAACCATACATTTTTCTTTACAAAGAGCCACCCCCCCCCCCTCCCCATCTCCCCCCCCCCCCCACAATCCCCAACCACCCACAAAAGCATCTTATTGCAAGTACGTTGACAACAGTATTGGATTCCCTCCCTGATCATATTGCCTGACGGAATGTTGCCAGTAAAATACCCCACCAGCGTGCCTGACGGAATGTTGCCGGTAAAATACCCCACCAGCGTGTGTTGCCGGTAAAATACCCCACCAGCGTGTGTTGCCGGTAAAATACCCCACCAGCGTGCCTGACGGAATGTTGCCGGTAAAATACCCCACCAGCGTGTGTTGCCGGTAAAATACCCCACCAGCGTGTGTTGCCGGTAAAATACCCCACCAGCGTGTGTTGCCGGTTAATTCCCCACCAGCGTGTGTTGCCGGTAAAATACCCCACCAGCGTGTGTTGCCGGTTAATTCCCCACCAGCGTGTGTTGCCGGTAAAATACCCCACCAGCGTGTGTTGCCGGTAAAATACCCCACCATCGTGTGTTGCCGGTAAAATACCCCACCATCGTGCCTGACGGAATGTTGCCGGTAAAATACCCCACCAGCGTGTGTTGCCGGTAAATTACCCCACCAGCGTGCCTGATGGAATGTTGCCGGTAAATTACCCCACCATCGTGTGTTGCCGGTAAAATACCCCACCAGCGTGCCTGATGGAATGTTGCCGGTAAATTACCCCACCAGCGTGTGTTGCCGGTAAATTACCCCACCAGCGTGCCTGATGGAATGTTGCCGGTAAATTACCCCACCAGCGTGTGTTGCCGGTAAAATACCCCACCAGCGTGTGTTGCCGGTTAATTCCCCACCAGCGTGTGTTGCCGGTAAAATACCCCACCAGCGTGTGTTGCCGGTTAATTCCCCACCAGCGTGTGTTGCCGGTAAAATACCCCACCAGCGTGTGTTGCCGGTAAAATACCCCACCAACGTGTGTTGCCGGTAAAATACCCCACCAGCGTGCCTGACGGAATGTTGCCGGTAAAATACCCCACCAGCGTGTGTTGCCGGTAAAATACCCCACCATCGTGTGTTGCCGGTAAAATACCCCACCATCGTGCCTGACGGAATGTTGCCGGTAAAATACCCCACCAGCGTGTGTTGCCGGTAAATTACCCCACCAGCGTGCCTGATGGAATGTTGCCGGTAAATTACCCCACCATCGTGTGTTGCCGGTAAAATACCCCACCATCGTGCCTGACGGAATGTTGCCGGTAAAATACCCCACCAGCGTGTGTTGCCGGTAAATTACCCCACCAGCGTGCCTGATGGAATGTTGCCGGTAAATTACCCCACCAGCGTGTGTTGCCGGTAAATTACCCCACCAGCGTGTGTTGCCGGTAAAATACCCCACCAGCGTGCCTGATGGAATGTTGCCGGTAAATTACCCCACCAGCGTGTGTTGCCAGTAAAATACCCCACCAGCGTGTGTTGCCGGTAAAATACCCCACCAGCGTGTGTTGCCGGTTAATACCCCACCAGCGTGTGTTGCCGGTAAAATACCCCACCAGCGTGCCTGACGGAATGTTGCCGGTAAAATACCCCACCAGCGTGTGTTGCCAGTAAAATACCCCACCAGCGTGCCTGACGGAATGTTGCCGGTAAAATACCCCACCAGCGTGTGTTGCCGGTAAAATACCCCACCAGCGTGTGTTGCCGGTTAATACCCCACCAGCGTGTGTTGCCGGTAAAATACCCCACCAGCGTGCCTGACGGAATGTTGCCGGTAAAATACCCCACCAGCGTGTGTTGCCAGTAAAATACCCCACCAGCGTGCCTGACGGAATGTTGCCGGTAAAATACCCCACCAGCGTGTGTTGCCGGTAAAATACCCCACCAGCGTGTGTTGCCAGTAAAATACCCCACCAACGTGTGTTGCCGGTAAAATACCCCACCAACGTGTGTTGCCGGTAAAATACCGGCCCAGCGTGTGTTGCCGGTAAAATACCCCACCAGCGTGTGTTGCCGGTAAAATACCCCACCAACGTGCCTGACGGAATGTTGCCGGTAAAATACCCCACCAGCGTGTATTGCCGGTAAAATACCCCACCAGCGTGCCTGACGGAATGTTGCCCAGTAAAGTACCCCACCCGCGGCAGCCACTTCAGCACGACAAATCTGCCATGTTTTAATCTAGCCATGTCAGAATGGTGACGCGACTAGCACTTTGGGGAAAACTTGAATCAATACAACTTCCGGCGGATCACTTGCTTGTTTTTTTTTTACCCGTATCACTCCGCCTTTACGTGAATAGTGTTATCGGTGTTTTTATGTGGTGCAGCTATCTTAATGTTTGGGGCAGATGGTTTCACACAAATACTATATAGAATTCACTATTAGATCTTCAAACAAATACCATATAGAATTCACTATTAGATCTTCAAACAAATACCATACAGAATGCACTATTAGATCTTCAAACAAATGTCATATAGAATGCACTATTAGATCTTCACACAAATGTCACATAGAATTCACCATTAGATCTTCACAAAAAGGCCATATAAAGTGCATTATTAGATCTACCCGAAAACATCTAAATAAATATTTTATTATAAATGTGCTTCATGATTTGTATAATATTTTTATCATATTTTTATTATAATTTTAAAATCATAGTTTTTTATCACAATTTTTGTAATCGTAACTTTTTAGCATATTATTTTCTTTATTCTTATCATAAAGTACACGGTAACAGCTTTAAATATTTATCTGCTGAGAATCATTCACGAAAATAAAAGTGAAAAATCCTAGTATATATTAATTTGAGCAACTAGGTGATCTAAATCTCGTGGAGCAGTAAAATTTAACGGTCACACTAGCGGCTGAGGATCGAATCCTTCTTATACTTATACTTATAAGTTCAATTTCAAAAAAACTTACTTTTTAAAATTAGTTTGCTATTTATTGAAAACAACTCATGAAAAAAAAATTAGCTGCATAGCTAAGCTAAATGATTTTAGACTTTGCTTTATGACGTATAAAATTTAAACATGCATGTTAAAAAAAACTTTAAACACAACGCCGGTGATTGGTTTTTAACAAAGGAAAAACAAAGAGTACAACAAAGAGTGCAATGCTACAATTTAATGCTGAAAACAAATAATATATTTATGCAAATCATTGCTTTATTTTTGTAGTATAAAGCTGAGTCCGTTTAAATCAGGAGATTATATTATAGACTATTTTTGTAAAAGAATTTTTTTTTAAAACTATGCCGATTTTAAAAATAAAATAAACTTTATTTTGATGCCAATCTTTAGGTTTTGACAGGCTTTTATTGCAGTTCTTTCTAACAAATCTTAGACAGATTAGCGATAATCACAAAAAACCACATAGATCATGCTATGAGTCAGTTGTAGGTTAGATTAGAAAAAGCTAGAATAGTCCAGAACGTAAGGGAGAGGTGTGTGTGAGTTAACCCCGGGGTGTTTAGGTATTGTTACCCCAAGGTCGAGTGCGGGTATAAAAGCTGGAGTGAACGATTGTAAGGGGGCTTTTAGTTTGTAGTGGCTAGGGACGAGGGCTTCTGTGTGATGTGTAAAAACGAGAAAAATAAAGTATTGAACATGTTCTCGCATAGTTTTTTTTTTTTTGCATTGAATATAACCACGAAGTAACAGATCACACATACCGCAAGACATTACAACTGGGTCAAAATATTTAGTTATATCGAGGTTGCTACGACTATAAACTTATAACCTATTATATTTATCAATTCCTTAAACCATGCTGTTTAAGTTTGACCCACAAGGTGTTATACTCTCTGTAAACTCAGAGACTGCACGTCTTTTGAAGACAGTGTATTTAAGTGTGTGTTGAAGACATAGTAGCGAAACATATTACTATAAAACAGAGAAGACAGCGTATTTAAGTGTGTGTTGCAGATATTGTGGTGAAACAAATTACTATTAAAACAGAGGAGACAGTGTATTTAGCTGTGTGTTGCAGATATTGTGGCGAAACAAATTACTATTAAAACAGAGGAGACAGTGTATTTAGCTGTGTGTGGCAGATATTGTGGCGAAACAAATTACTATTAAAACAGAGGAGACAGTGTATTTAGCTGTGTGTTGCAGATATTGTGGCGAAACAAATTACTATAAAACAGAGGAGACAGTGTATTTAGCTGTGTGTGGCAGACATTTGGCGAAACAAATTACTATAAAACAGAGGCAACAGTGTATTTAGGTGTGTGTTGCAGACATTGTAGCGAAACAAATTACTATTAAAACAGAGAAGACAGTGTATTTATCTGTGTGTTGCAGATATTGTGGAGAAACAAATTACTATTTAAACAGAGAAGACAGTGTATTTAAGTGTGTGTTGCAGATATTGTGGTGAAACAAATTACTATAAAACAGAGAAGACAGTGTATTTAGCTGTGTGTTGCAGATATTGTGACGAAACAAATTACTATTAAAACAGGAGACTGACCTTGTGTTTCTTCTTGACGTAGGGTGGTATAACGGCATTTCCGGTCTGGTCAAGCGCGGCAAGGCTGCTGAACACGAGGCTGGACAGCGTGGACCGTCGCTCTGATGCACGTGCGCTGGTGACCGGACGACCTGTGGGTGAGTACGATCAGGTCAGGAGGGGAGGAAACACACGTGGGATGGGGTCGAAACTTTTCTAGGGTAACTTGCAATATTTATTTTTATTGGCTTGTTGTTCCTTTTTCTTTTAGGTGTCTTCTTCTTCTTCTTCGTTCTTAATTATTAGTGTTTTAGGTGTTTTTCTTTTCTTTTTGTAAGCTTATCATTTACCAGATGGCTATATCTCAATACCTAAAGATCGAACATGATCATACTACATTACCCATCCCTAATTCTGACACTAGAAACAGTTTTAACCACTAACGTAACGTTTTAAATTAACCCTAGGTTCTAATAAAATAATTTGGAATTTAGTTGTTGGAAACCCATTAGGAAAACCTCCGTAACCTTTATTTATGATGTTTTTAATCCAGATTTTATTTTTTAAATGTATAGTTATATGTTTATATGTTAATTAAATTAAAGCAAAAAGTCGTGTCAAATTGAGAGTGGAATACCAATGGTGTATGTAGGTGGTGGTGGCAGACTTACCTTCGGCCTGAGCCGCCAGCTTCTCTCTCTCCCTCTCCGCCTGCAGCTCTGCCAGAGAGTGGGATCTCCTGTAGGGCGGGACCTGTTCCTTGTAGGGTCGCGTGACGTCATAGCTGATGCGGCGGGGTGGGTACCTCATGCCCGGGTACCTGCCCTCCTCGATGTCGTAGTTCTCCGTGTCTGACAGATCTGGGGGATGAAGCAGGTGAAGCGTGACGGGTTGAACTTAGTGGTAAGCTTGCATGGAAATCGGACTGGAAATTACGTAGACCTTCGAGAACCTTTCACCTAGGTTGCTTTCTTACTCTATTAAACTCGTACCTTACACCAATACCAAAAAGAAAACCTTGACTTAACCCTAAGCCTGACTTTGTAGAAAAACGTGTTACAGTTCCCTATACAAACCTAACGGTCCATGGGGCAAGTGAAGTAGAGTTCACCTGTTTCTGTGACCTCGGCATATGAAGGGGTAGTGTGGTCAGCACTATGCCCAGCCGCCTTTACTTTTCTTATCAGAACTGGGTACACTCGGGGAGGTTGTACTGACTTAAACCTGGATTAGAACTCGAGACTTGCAGTCTAGTACTCTACCGCTAGACCACGCCGCTCCATAGAAAGACTTATTACAATTTAATATTGTTTAGCGTGTGTTTTAAAAAAAAAATATTTTTGATGTGTATTGCCTCAGGTCATTGACCTTTGAACTAGCTCCTTTAAGTTCAACCCCACACCACTATGACGAAATCCTGAGGGATTTTGTTTTCCTTTTTATCACGTAACTATCTCAAAATCTCCAAGTCGGCCTGACCTCAGCCTAGTCAAAGAAAAAATTTTGATCGCAATTTTTAAATCGATTTCGTTAATTTTTTTAACATAAAAGAACGTTTAATTAGCGAGCAATTAGCTTCAATCGAGAGATGATTTCTTTTTCACCGTTATAAATATTTATGATTTCTGTAATTAGGATTTGACTTTCCCTTTATGCCAGTTGTTGTTTTGAATGAAAGCATTGACGTCGTGAAATGGCGTCTATTGGAAAAAAAGAAGTTTGAATTGTTTAACCGCACGCACGCATGGTTTAGTTCGCTTCATAATTCTTCACATATTATGATAATTTAAGCGCAAAGTCATTTAAGAAGATCTAGGACTTGACTAGTTTTATGTTTGGGTTATGTTAAAGCTCAATGCTAATCTTGGGTTTAGGGTATACGAATATCTGGGTTTGGCTAATTAATCATTATAAATGGACTGTTGTCTGAAATAATCTAGCCTATATTTAGTTGGTCAATTACTTTGTCGTTTTCATAAATCTTAGAAGAATTTTTTTCTCTAGTAATTTTTTGTAGTCTGCTGTCAAATTTAAAAAGAAAAATTGTGTTTAGTTTACATTAATTAAACTGTCTATTCAGAAAATTGAGACAAAAACACTGCCTTAGTAAAAAATGAAGTTGGTAAAAAAAAAGTTGGTTAAATTTTTCTTTTCTTTACTACCATCGTCTAGGTCAGGCCGACCTCCGGGATCTATAAATAGACCGACCTGCCAGCGATACGTCCGTGTCGTCTATCCGGCTGCCGTCTGAGCCCTTCCGGCTGCTCCTGCTGCTCGCTGAGCCCCGCCTGTCCGACTGGTCGGAGAAGATGGACGTTCTCCGGCTGCCCATGCTGGAGGCTGACCCCCGTCGGTCCGTGTCGGAGGCGAACGACGTCCGACGACTTCCCATGCTGGAGTTGGAGCCACGCCTGGGGTTTGGAAAAACATTTTTTTTTAATAAAACAATATATTGTGGAATTTAAATGTTTGAGGGTTGAGGGGGGGGGGGGGTGATGGTGGGGTGGGGGGGGGGGGGGCAGGGAGTTGAAAATAATCTGGGTAACAGTGAGTGAAGACACTATTTGAGTAGCAAGGAGGTGGGGGTGGGGATTATGAGCCACCTTAATCCCAATATATGGGGGAAATTATTTCAGTAACATAAGACACTCAAGCATTTTTTTTTTCTGTTAAAACGGGGAGGGAGGGGGAGGGGTTAAGATCAACCTCAATCCCAGTATATGGGGAAATTATTTCAGTAAACACAGTAAACATAAACATACAAAGCACTTTTTTTTTCTTTGGTGTTAGGGTGGGGTGCAGAGTTTCTTTCAGGCTTCTTTTGGGGAGGTGGAGGAGGGAGCCTCTTCCGAAGAAAATTCACCGAAGAAAATTGTGTGGAAGAAACACTGGCGAAGTGGGGGTGGGGGGGGGGGGTGTTAGTACCACCATGCACACATCCCAGAAAGAAAGAAAGTATGATGAACTCGGGGCAAGTGTAGAGTGGGGCAGATACTGTTGCAGCACGACCCCCACTCTAACCTAGCGTCCAGTCAATGTCAGTTTTAAAATATGTTGAGACAGTGTGTTGCTAGTCAGGTTTTTTTTTGTCAGTGGTTTAATATGAGTGTGTTGGGACATGGGTGCCTCTAATGTATAGCCCAAACCCCCCACTATAACCTAGGGTTAAATCAATGTTAGTTTTAATATAGACTGAGACGATGGTCAAATTTTTAGTCAGCGGCTAATTATGAGTGTGTGGGTACCCGTACAGTATAGCGTAAATGGGGTGTGGGGAGGGGGAGAAAAGGGCGCTTGCACGTAAATTCTTTAACTAGAGATTCGGAGTGAAGAAATGTTTTTAAGTCAACACCGTTAGAGGAAATGTTATTAAATCAATACCGTTAAAAGTGAACTTCATAATTAATTAGGTTGTGTCAAATCTGATTCCTCGGTGTTTAATTAGGCGAATTCCCAAAGTCAGGAGAAAGGTCATTTTCTAAGATTTGACGCTAGAGTAAACATATTCTCTGTCTTTTTAGTTGGGAACATGTTCGATAACTCTTTGGTTTGAAACATGTTCGATAACTCTTTCGTTTGAAACATGTTCGATAACTCTTAAGTTGAAACGTGTTCGATAACTCTTTAATTTGGAATATGTTCGATAACTCTTTCATTTGGAACATGTTCGATAACTCTTTGGTTTGGAACATATTCGATAACTCTTTAATTTGGAACATGTTCGATAACTCTAGTTTGCAACATGTTCGATAACTCTTTAGTTAGCAACATGTTCAATAACTCTAGTTTGTAAGATGTTCTATAACTCTTTATTTGGGACATCTTCAATAACGTTTCAGTTTGATAATGCTAAACTATGGCCTTCTTTACGGGGATTTCCTGTGACGTCATTGTATGATCAAGTTTCAAAATCATTCTAATCTATTAAAGTGTGGTTTTATTATACTCGTTTTCTTGTGGCTCGATATGTGAAATGGATTTGATTTATTGTGTGATGTGGTGATAGAGGGGATTTGATTTATACGTGATGTGGTCTTGGAAGGGGATTTATAATGATGCTATGTGATGTATAAATGGAATTCAGATTATAAATGATGTGGTACGATGAATGAGATGAGTAAAATGTAAATGCTAGAGACTGGATCTTCATCATGGGGTTAAGGGGTTGAATTTGTTGCGAATGTGAAGACAGTAAATTGCTACAGATATATATGTGATGTGCTATAATTTAGAATCAGAACATACACAAGCATCATAGTAAAACAGAAGCAAGGATTAATGCTTCTAAATATATTTCATTTTTTTTTTCGTCTTCAGTTTCTTTTATGCGTGTTTTCTATCTGTGCTAAAGATTTTAGAAAATCCTAGATTAAACCTCCTGGCTATTTTTACACGACTTTTCCGGTTCCAATTTTCCAGGTTTTAAACATACCACGTGATCAGTTTCAGCCAATAAAAACTGCGTGACTAGCATGAAAACATCATTTTTCCTTCAAACTCTAGCTTTCGTTGTGCTAATTCGAATATTTGCAAGTATAAAAAATATGTTTGAAAAAATAAAAAAAGAATCGAAATTTCCGGCAGGTAACGATTTTCTCTAAGTTTAGCTTCGCGGAGGTCAAAAATAACTCAATGTAATCTAAATCATTTTTTTTAAACAACAGAGAACACCTGATGATTTTAAAAGAAAGGAAATTTGAAATTTGAAGATAGAATGCAATTTTTTTAAAAGATATTTTTAATGTCGATAAATCAATACCCTTCTAGTATTCGAGTCAGTGTTTCTTCCAGAATATTTTCTCCGGTGGGGGGGGGGGGGGGGGGGGGATGGGGGCTGTCACGGCCTTTTCTGCTGCCAATCATGGCACAAACTCAAAAAACAAATACCAACCGCTCTCCTCTCTCCTCCTTTGTTATTACATATTATAGTCTGATTTATAACATTAAACAACCCACGTTCAGGAAATTTTCATGATTTTATTGGTTCATTGATACAACGACTTCACTGCCAAAACATCGCCATTGTCTTCCCGCTCTCTACCTCCTTGCTTCCTTTTTTTAGCGCATGCGCACACCCACACTATATTTTAGATTTATATCGCCTTTTTATGAAACATACTCGAAACATGCATTCACCTTACATTTGACTGTTACAGGGGCACTTGAAATTTTCGAGGAGGGGGAACACTGTTAAAAGTATATATTCTCTATATAAAATCCATTTGGTTCGGGGGGGGGGAGGGGCGGGAGACTCTCCCCCCCCCCCTCCCCCGGTTAAAAAAAATCTGGAAGATACACTGCCCCGAAGAGATGCCTGGAAGAAACACTGATTCGAGTCACCTTTAAGCTAAAACAGTACTTGAACTCTAGTGTTAAGATTAAGGTTGGATTTATTTTAACAGCCTATGTAAAGACTGTTATTAAAGTGTTATTTCTGGTGATAAAAGCTAACCTTCTGGCCGTACCACTAACAACCAACACTACCATGTATCTTGATAAGGAAAATAAAACAGAAACAGCGTCATTAAATTTTATTTAACTGTTTTGTTATAGAGTTTAAAAAATCAGTACAAGCTAGACAGGCTGAAACATTGCATTTTAATTGAGGTCTGCTGCTGGCGTGGATACTTTGTTTTTTTTCTTAATTAATTAATGGGAGTGGGTGGGGGGGGGGGACAAAATGGATAGACCGCCAACGGCGATGACGTATGAAGCTACGTCTCTGTTATGTTGTTTTGTTTACAACATTTATAAAATAAAGATTTTTTTAATTAATTATGCTATACTAACAAGTGGGTGTATCCTTTCCACTATTACATATAAACATCCATATAAAACTGTGTAGAGTACTAGACTGCTAACCCGAATATCTTGAGTTCGAATCCGGGTTAAAGTGAGTAGAAAGTCCCTCATTCCACCCTACTCTTATAGGTACCTAACTCATGTTAGAAAAGTAAAGGCGGATGGACGCAGTGCTGGCCACACCATCCCTTCACATACCGAAGTCAACAAACATAAACTCTACTTCATCTACCAAATGGTTCGCAAGGTATAAAGAGGAATCTTGATTTTATTACAAAAACATCAATATCTAATAAATTAAGTACATTGGCTTTTATTTTTTGGAAAATTGAGAAGAAAAACAAACATGTTTTTGTTATTGTTTTCCAAATCGGGCTTGTATACGGGAATTAAACAATCGTAAAAGATGGATGGGTCAGTTGATGTGTAATTCTGAAGACGGATACTGATTTTCAAATTCCAAATCAGAAATTACAGTATTAAAAACTCCGGTTTCTGAAGGTTTCTGGGCGATAAAATAAGAGAAAAAAACACACACTTGACGCTATGGGCGAGGGTGAGAATCATGAATGTGTTGAAGTCACGGAATCCTTGTTCAGTTTCTTTGTGTTCTGTTGAGATGTTCGCGAGTGATGATAAAAAGATTCGCAGATTTAAAAAAAACTTTGTTGTCATGACAACGGCAATTTTTTCTCACGTCTTGGTGTGTGTTATCTGTAGGTGTGTTTCCGTTTTCTGATACGATTGGTCTGGCTCAAATATATATTCTTCATTGAGATTGGCTGTTGTGTAATGTCTGTGAAAAAGTCAGCATCTGTGTGTTTTCGTCTATGTGTGTCTATGTGCGTCTATGTGTGTCTGTGTGTGTCTGTGTTGACTAGTTAAGCAAATTCCATTTAATGAGCTACATTAACGGTGACACAACATAGCAGTAAATAGCAAAATCGATACACACTACAACTTTCTTATACGATCACACATTACACGTTATAACATTTCTTTAAAAAGATAACGAGAATTTTATTGCACAACTTTTTTTAGATAACGCAAGGTGCGTCAATACTTTTAACAAGAAAAACAAATTTGACAAGGAGAGAAAAATATCTTCTAAGAGATTGTGATATCCAATGAGCTATCACATAACCTCTCATAAAAACTGTCTTTAATTTTACATCCCGATTTTCTTTGTCGCATTTTCATTGGAGGCGAATGATGGGTATTAATGTTTAATTTTTGTGCAACGGGCATTAAATTAATGTATAATTTTTAGCCACGAGTATTGAATTAGTTTTCAATTTTTGGGCTACAATAATTAAATTAGTGTTTCACTTTTGCGGAGCTAGAATTACATTAATATTTACTTTGTGTGCAAAGAGCGTTAGATTAACGTTTAATTGTTATTGTAAATAAGGATTGTGGATAAAAGAAGATCCACGTTAATCAGAAAGTTTGAGTATTAATATCTGGATATTATCAAGCTAGTAATAAGACTTTATTTAAACCAGTGAATGCTCGTGTGTACAATATGTAAGTAAAGTTTCCCTTCCAAGCCTGATGGTCTATAGGGTAAGTGAAGAAGAGTTCACCTGTTTCTGT